AATTTCGGACTGCAGGATTTGGTAAAAATGCTCAATTTCTTCCTCTTTGGCTCTAGATTTAGGAGTATATATTTTAGTAATAATTGCGTTCACGGGTCTTCCTTGTATGCATATGGATATTATCCTATCACTCACAACATTGTATTTCAGGATAGAACATGCAATTGACTTTTTGCCTGGTGGTTGGTGATCATAGCAGTGATATGATGACTGTGGTAGTGATGGGAATGGTGGTGGTGGTGATGATGATGTGGTGATAGTGGCAGTGGTTGTGACAGTGGTGATGATGATGGTGGTCGTGGTGGTAATAGTGATGGTGGGGGTGATTGTGGCGGTGGTAGTGGTGGTAAAAGTGGTGGTGGTGATGGTGGTGGAGATGGTGGTGATAAAGGTGGTGGTTATGGCAGGGGTGGTGATGACAACGGTGGCAGTGGTGGTGACAATGGTGATGATGGTGGTGATGACAGCAGTGGTGGTGATAACAATGGTGATGGTGGTGGTGGTGGTGGTGGTGGTGATGGTGACAGTGATGGTGGTGGTGATGATGGTGGTGGTGTGGTGGTGCTGGTGGTGATGGAGTGGTGATGTTGGTGGTGGTGATGGTGGTGACGGTGATGATAAAAGTGGTGGTGGTGGTGGCGGTGGTGGCGGCGGTGGTGATGGTGATAATAAAAGTGACGGTGGTGATGATAACGGTGGTGGTGGTGGTGGTGGTGGTGGTGAAAGTGGTGATGACATTGGTGATGGTGATAATAAAATTGGTGGTGGTGGCGACGATGTTGGCCGTGATGATGGTAGTCATTCTGCTGCTGGTGGTGATGAGAGTAGGGGTGGTGGCATGGTAATCCTGGAGAGAATTATTAAAAATCCATTTTCCAAGAATAAGAATAAATAAGCTGTGTGACTTTGAAGCACGACCCCTGAGAAGTTCAGCTGGCTCCGTGAGAGCTGTCTAAGCCTCGGGTTCCTTTAGCACCCTCAGGAATGCCGCCTTCCCTGAGAACATTCCCAGACACTCCTCGGAGGAGAGCTTGCCCCTGGGGTCACACCGTTCAGAACCCACAGACACAGCAGGAGTCTCCAGAGTGAGGAGAGACAGGGTTCCTGGGATGAGGTCCCAGCAGGTGATGAAAAGAGAAAGGGTAAGGGGTGAACTTCTGGAGTCACTGACACGGAGCACAAGCCCTGGGTCACTGAGAGCCCATTGCTCCAGCCAGGGCTAAGGCTCTCTTACGCCCTCATGACCAGGAGGCCCCCCATGTCTCCCCCAGGACAGCGGGGCTCGAGCCAGGGAGCGGTGCCACGTCTTTCTCAGCTGCCCCACAGAACCAGCAGTGGCCTCCAAGGCTAACGCACAGTATTCAGCACCTCCCATGGCCCCTGGCTTGTCGCTGTTTACATAATGAGTGTGGATGGGAAATGTTCCCTCCTGTACTAATCGAATCCTAACTGTGCCACATCGTCAGGAAACCAAATCCAATTTCCTTTTGACCTAAAATTAATTTTCAGAAGAAAATCGCTTTATCGCCTGCCTCATAATGATTCCAGCAAGCACCTGCTGCCTGGGGAGGTGGGGCCCTGTCCTCGGAGGCCTGGGTGCCTGGATCCCCCCTCCTGGAACCATCGAGATGAGTCAGAGGGGAAGCATCCACAGGGGAGCTCACTGGCCTTGAGACACGGATTTGGGAAGTAAGGGCAGCTGGTCAGTTGGCTGCAAGTGGACAATAAAGTTCTGCCTCCTCCCCCTCGAGGGAGTCAAAGACTGAGGAGGTTGGGATGGGTCCAACATCCCTGAGAAGAATCGCTGCATAACAGACAGCGCTCAGCTGGGATCACCCCCGCAATGTCCGCTGTGTTTGTGAGGGTCATTTATATCAGGTCCTCATCCGCCCCAGCCCAGCCCAGGGTCTGCAGCTCCTGGTTTCACCCCCGGCCCAATCCAGTTCTTCCTCGGTCAAGTCCATGGCGCCTGGCCCAGCCCCTGACCCTAGCCGGGTCTGAAACTCCTGGCCTCTGCCTGGATGCAGTTCCTGACCGGTCCCCAGCATGACGAACACCCCCTGGTCCCCTGTCACCTCTGGCAGCCCTGAGCTGAGGCCTCTAACCACACAGGCACATACATTCCTCTGCCATCTGGCTGGCCCCCTCTGAGCCCTTGGCCCCAGCCCTGGCCAGAGCGCCACACTGACCATTGTGGACACACTCCAGGCAGCACGGATAACATCAGGAGAACATGGAATTCTCTGAGGTCAGAGGGTGGGTAGTCTGGACAGACTCAGGGGCCCAGCCTGGACTCAAGTGTCCAGGGCCACGAGACCACTCTTCCTGGGAGCTGCCAGCCATTGTTACCATAGTGACGGGACACCAAGTCCTCAAAGACAGAACCGCAAGGAAACATAGTGGGAGGTTCAGACCACAGAGGCTGCTCCCGGCCAAGCTGATATGGGTCGATGCCAGGCAGAAAGAAGCAAGGAAAGTGACCCACCGGGCCTTGAAGGGCAGGAAGGACCCTCATCCACTCATTCCCAACACTGAGGAGACCCAGTGAGGCCCCAGGCAGATGCTGTCCCTGCCATGCGCTAACCCAGTGTCCCTCAGGCCTGCTCTGAAGCCCTGCACCCTGTTCTAAGAAGACTAGGTTAGACAGGTCAAGGGTCACCCCAAATGGTCACCCAGGAAGCTGGTCTGGTCTTGGGCCCCCAGGCATGCAGCTGCAGACACTACACAAAGAAAGGCAGAAACAGGAAAATTAGGACTACTTTTTAAAACTATGTCCATGTTTTAACAAAAGAGTAATAGCTGGACTGTAAGACGGGTTGGGGGTTCCTGGGCCTGAGTCCACCCTGTCAAGTCCCTGCAGATGAAGGGGCAGCCCCAGCCAGGTCAGGCAAGGGGTGCCAGGGGAGGACAGCTGAGCCACTGTCATGGTCAAAGCCTGTGTCCACATGCTCGGAGAGGCCCCTGAAGGAAATGAGGGCTATACTCCCTGAAGACCCGTTCAGGCACACGGGGCAGGTAGGCGGCTGAGCCCCACTCTGCGGTAAAAGCACAGCTCAGCCCCCTCCTTCCACAGATGCAGCCCAGGCCAGGGCCGTGAGGCCTGCAGGGCCATGGGGCCTGTGCTGAGCTCTGGCAAGCCTGCTCTCTCGGTTCAAACAGCAGCTCTCCCCCAAAGAGGCAGGAAGCAAGTGAGACAGACGCCCCAGCTTCCTGCCTCAGGCAGGGGGCCCCCAGAGAAGGAGCCGGCAGAGGCGGCCAGCTCCCAGCTGCAGCCTTTATCTCATGCGGGCTCCCTGGCAGCCTAACTCCCACCGTCCACAGAGCATCCCCCAGGACCGCTGCCCCCACACCTCCGCACACTCCACCAGCAGCCCCCAGCCCAGCACACAGAAAGTGCACACGGAGCAGCCGAGTGCCAAGGGGGCCGCCCGCCTGCCTGTCCTCCTGGAGTCCACGCGACTGTGTGTGCACGTGTTAGTGGTGGCCTTGGTCAGCCGTCCTGTCCCACAGACACAGTGTCCAGACCTGAGGGGCTGCTGGCTGGGAGAGCTGGATCCACGCCGCTGGCCTCACCTCTGCCACCTCCCTGACATGCCTGCTGACAGGCAGACCTCCCCCCGGGGCCGGATGTGTGGCCATGCCATGGACACGGAGCCGTGGTGGAGCAGTGCCTTGAGCATTATGTGGGAATGTCCCAATCCCCTGGTCAGTTCTGGGGAGAAGGAAGTGGTGGCTGCTTCCCTAAGGATCCCGCAGGGAAAGGCTGCTGGGGGGTCCCTCTGCTCTCAGGGCTGACTGGTCAGAACGGACCAATAGGAGCGAGTTTGGTTTGGGGGACACTCTAAGCCCTCCCACTCATTCATGGCACCCAGTGGCAAAGGATGCTACTACTTCAAACACCCAAGCCCTTTCAGCGTCACTGAGTCAACTCCCACTCACAGCTCCCTTGCAGGGCAGAGAGGAACCACCTCGGGTCCCCAGGCTGGGGTCTCACAGAGAAGTTGCCTCGCCGCCCTCCTTCAGAGCAGCTGGTGGGCTCCAACCACAGACCTTTACCATTAGGCACTGAACGCTTCGACCACCACGTCACCAGCGCTCCCAGCATGCTTTTGAACACCCATTATGGACCAGAAACTCGCATAATGAACACATCTGGGCTCAGGTGTTCATAGCACTGAGGCTGAGACCTGGGAGGAAGGATCCCCTTGTCCCTCGGGGACAAGTCATAGAGGCATCTGCCCCTTCCTTCCACTGCTGGCCCTCAGCTCAGCTGGACAAGGCCAAGCAGAGAGCTGACAGAGAGAGAACCCTCGTCCCATTCAGGCACCTGGAGTCTGGGCCGCCAGTCACCCAAACCACGAGAAAGTAAACTCCTGCTTCTTAAAGACCTCCACCCATGTCACAGCAGGACAGAGAACTGACACACACACACCTGGGGTGTCCCTGTCACAGCAACACAGAGAACCGAGACACACACACCCATGGTGTCCCTGTCACAGCAGCATAGAGAACTGAGACACACACATCTGGGGTGTCCCTGTCACAGCAGCAGGGAGAACCGAGACAGGATAGTATTCTGGTGGCCTGGCCCGAGCTCTGCTCCCACAGCCCTGCCCCTATCATGCCAGGTGAGGCAGATGAGGCAGATGGGAGGAGATTCGAATGGCTGCCCCTCAGAGAACAAGGACACCTGCCAGGAGCACCATTCAGCAGCCGTCGGGCACCCTGTTATTTATAGGAGATGGGAAATAATGGTCCCCCATGGTGGGAGAGCATGCCCAGTGGCGCTTTTGAGGAAGGGGACACTGGAGGTGTCCAGGAGGCGGATACACAAATGCCCCCTTCCCTGGTGAGAACCTAGCCAGGTTCTCCCACTGAGGAGGGATGGAGGCCCTGCATGCCAGTCTCAGCATGAAGCAGGTGTCCTGCCTTGGCCATGTCCAGCTTCCCACTGTCCAATCCCAGCCCTGTCAAGGGCACACGGTCCCTCTGGTACCTACCAGGTGCCCAGCAGCCCGCACCAGCTTGTGGGTGGAGAAGGGGAAGGCCTCATTGCTCAGGTCCGCCTCGAGCACTTCCTGGAGAATGGCCCGGCTGTGGACGAGAACGAGGTCGTAGGTTAGTCACTCAACCAACAGTCCTGTGTGCCGGGCCCTGGGCGGAGCAGGTGCTCAGCTCACAGCTGTGATCAGGGTAAGTCCTCGTCCTCCTGGGCAGCCTGGCAGTTTCTCAGCACGCAGTTCATAAAACCCCATCAAGACAAATATACGTCCCAAAACGGGCACAGGGCTCTTCAACAGGACAGTGACACCAGTGCTCTGAATGCCCAAACTTACAAATGCTGCATGACCCCAGGCAGACAAGCGGAGGCCTGGGGCAGCTGTCCACCGAGGGGTCAGCCCCAGCACAGCAACCCTGCACAGAAACGCCGCCTCGTCTCATGCTGCCCTCATGATAGGCTGAGCATTGGACCATGGTAAGCCACAGCACTTTCGTTATTTCACATGTGGGTGGCCAGCCCTTTCCTCCTGGCCTTAGTCTGGTAGCTTTGATGAAATTACATAGCCACACACCAGCTTCCACTGACAGACAGGTGGGGGCTGCATATGAAGGGCATCGAACTCAAGTGTTCTGTGCATGGTCCTAGCCATCTAACGGCATGACTCGCGTAGACAAGGAAGAGTAGGGCTTGGGGGCCAAGGCTCACGATCCTGCCTCTCCAATTCTCACAGTGCATCTGAAGGCCCTCCTGACCCACCGCACGCACATCCTACTCCCTTCCCTTTGTTTAACTGTCATCTTTCAGATCTTTGTTCTCAGCTGCTGCCTCCTCCAGGAAGCCTTCCCTGACTTCCACAGCCCTCCCGTGCCTCCCATCAGGGCTCTCATCTAAGTACTTGCCCCCACTACACCAGGAGGGCCCTATGCCAACCTGCCCAGCCCAGCGAGCACACTCAGTGACCTGTGTGAGTGAGGACGACCTGGCTTTGGCAGCTGACCTGTCAGCACAGTCGCCCCCCGCCTCCACCCTGGATGGTGCCCCAGCAGAGACCACAAGACGGGCCAGCTGCTGCCTGGAGTGCTGCCAGCCCTCGTCCAGATCTCCTCAGAGTCACAGTCGCCGGCCCACACCCCTGAGGTGCTTGGCTGTGGGCAGCCTGCCAGCATCCTTACATAACACCACCCAGCACCCACGTGCTGCCACCCTGGACAGACTGCACAGCTCCAGGCCTGCAGGGCGCAAAGGGGTGACTGTGTAGGAGGGGCCCTGCCATTCCAGGACCAAGGAGTACAGCTCCGACCCAGCCGTGGCCTCAGCAGCAGCAGGGCCGTGCCTGTGGGGCAGCTGGGTCCTCGGGGGAATGGGGGCCTGTGTCCAGCCCATGTCTGTCCTGAGGAGGACCGAGTGAGCATCCACGTGCCACTGAGGACTGGCTAGGACAGCAAGACTGTCCTTCTCCAGGAAACAGTGGGGGATTTGGGGAGCCCTGAGCTCAAGTCCTGTCCTTCACTGTCCACTCTGCTGCCTCTGTCTGAATCTGCCGAATGGGGACAGTGCTGTCACCCCCAGGGCCATGAGAGGTGGCTCACTCAAGTCACCTCCATGTCAGTATGTACAGAAGAGCTGCCCAGGTACCCCTGTCACACATGGCTCTGAACAGGTGAGCTCACGCAAGTGAAACGTAATGAAAAATCCGTTTCTAGTCATTCTGGTCCCATTACTGAACAGATGGCAAAAAACCAAGTGTCTCCGAGAAAATGCAGCCAGAGTGCTCCTTGAAGGCAAAGATGACAAAGTTTCATTCCATAGACTTTGGGCATGTCACTAGAAGGGAGTATTCCTCGGAGAAGGACATCCTGCTGGGAAAAGTGGAGAATCAGCAAGAGAGGAAGACCGTCGGCCAGCTGGACTGACACAGTGACCGCAGCAGTGGGCTTCAGTGTGTCGGGGACGACGGGGGCAGCACAGGACAGGATTGCTACGAGTCGTATCTGACTCGACGCCACCTAATAAAAACCATGATATATACACGTGACCAGGGCCACCATGTTGGACGACTCCGATACAGAATGCTTCCAGAAAGTTCTACCAGGCAGGAGTTCCCACCAACCTCCCAAGGTGAGCAGGCTCTGGACTGAGTGCTTCCCCCGTGGCAACTCGGCGAAGTTATCAGTGGCGGCACCATTATTCATACAAGAAAATTGGGGCTATTTTTGAGGGAGAGAGGGCACTTTGGAGGAGCAAGCGCGGCGATGCGGGGGAGGGGAGCGGTCTCTGCATCCGGGCAGCCATCACCTGCCCGCCTGGGGTAGCTTATAGTGAGGCTGAGGAGGCTGGCCCAGCCGGGGCGCCCGGGGTTGTCCCCTCATCTGCCTGCCCGCCGCCCTCCCTGGAGAGGCCTCCCCCACACTCCCTCGCAGCTTTCCAAGGCTGGGCCTGAGGCTCCCACGGTCACCGGTCACCAGGGCACGTGGAGGCCGGCTCACTACAGGGGTGTAGGAGCTGCCCCCACCACCCCGTCTCTCAGGTGTCTTTACACTGACTGCCCCCAGAAGCCTCCCTCCACCCCCTCCCTCACAGCCCGAGAGTCTGTACCTCCTCAAAGACCCTCTTCTGTCCATTCTCAGTATGTCACGCCCAGTGGTCCCTCAGAACAACGCCTGTGACCACTGGACACCCCATGATGAAGCGGAACCATCATCCCACGTGGCCCAGCTTGGGCCCCTCCCTGAAGCCTCTGCCTGAGCTGGCCACCTCCAGTCCTTGGGTCACAGAGCCGGGTGGTGCACGCCGAGTCTGGGCCACAGCGGCCCTGGTCCTCGTCCTGCCTGGGTGGTCCCCTCTAATCCCCTGGCCGGTGAGTCCCTATTTCAGCTATAGCCTAGCTCTACCCCACTGTTCCTTCTGTCCCAGCACAGATGGACCCCATGAAACCCCAAGTCCACCTCACAGGACTGCTCTCAGGCCTGGCGGACGTGCACCAAGGTGCTACCACATTCGTCCCACCACAGATAGAGGGGTCGTTCCAGACGGACACCTGCTGGGGAGACCCTCCCCCAAACCCTGACACCCAAAGGGCTTCATGAGCCTGATTCCTCCTGACTGGGCTCAGCCAACACTTGCGAACAGAACGACTGAGTAGGAGCAGGTGCGGTAAACAGTCAGCGAGAGCAGGTTCTGGAAACAGCCATGGGGTGGATACAAGGGACAAGCTCAGGAAACGTGGGCTCAATGGTGGCGGCTCAGCGAGCACTAGAGTGGATGCTGGGGGAACAGGCTCAGTATATATTCATAGAGTTCATGTCTGAGTGGAACCGGTCAGAAAGCCCAACAGAGAGAGCGACTAGGTGGGAGCTCAGCGAGCACTAGAGAGGATGGCTGGGGAACAGGCGTAGTGCAGACTTGTGGAATGGTTGACTGACAGGTACAGGTCAGAAAGCACAAGAGAGTGAGCGACTGGATGGGAGCAGACACAGTCAACACTCGTGGAGTGAACCGGCAGGAGTGACTGAGTGAGAGCAGGCTCGGTAAACTCCACAATGAATGACTGTGTGAGAACAGGCTCTGTATGTTCATAGAGCACATGGCTGAGAGGGCACAGGTCAGTGACCACACCAGAGTGAGCGACTGGGTGGGAGCAGGCTCCGAAAGTACTAACAGCAGCGGGAATGGCAGGGTGGGAAGAGGCTTAGTAAACTCTGCTGGAGGGAGTGGCTGAGGAGTGACAGGGCTATCTGCAGACTTCCTGTCATCAGAGGCGTTTAGGGAACAAGTCCCGGGGAGGGTAGCATTTCAGCCCCATACACTTCACTCTCTTGGGAGACGCATTGCAAACACAGGTATTTGAACCTGAGATGTGACACTTGGAAGGTCACTTTACCCTGTGGCATCCACACCTCGGGGGTTTCACTAGAAATGGAAGAACAGTCCAGCAGCCAGGAGAACACACTCCGAGATGGGACAGTCCTTTCCTGGACGTGTCAGTGGCCCAGAGAGCCGGGAGCCCCTGATGCCTTGTGGAGCCTCAGACACGGTTAACCATGAGCTTCAGGTTCTTAGAAAATGCAATCCCAAGTGAGCTCCCTGCTGGCCACACCCCATTCCAGCAGCCATGGCCCTTCCAAGGGCCCAGAGGTGTTCAGGTGTGTGCCTCCCAGCCTTCCCTCACCTGGCTGGCCCCTGGACACTGATCATGCCCAGGTCCTCAGAGCGGTCAATGAGCTGGCACTGGAAGCACTGGTCCTGCAGCACGCTGGTGATGTGAGACCAGTTGTGTTGGGCCACGGCCCCGCCCACCGCCAGGTAGTAGCCATCTCCTGGAGAAAGAAAACTAATGTAGAGGAACTGTAGGGGGAGGGGCCAGCAGTGAGGATGGGGAGGGGGATGGATGGGCAGTGAGGATGGGGTCGGGGACAATAGGGGGATGGACAGGCAGTGAGGATGAGGAGGGGGACAAGAGGGGGAGGTACAGGCAGTGAGGATGGGGAGGGGGATGGATGGGCAGTGAGGATGGGGAGGGGGACAAGAGGGGGAGGTACAGGCAGTGAGGATGGGGAGGGGGACAGGAGGGGGAGGGATGGACAGTGAGGACAGGGTGGGGGACAGGAGGGGGAAGGATGGACAGTGAGGATAGGATCGGGGGCAGTAGGGGAGGGACGGGCAGTGAGGACGGAGAGGGGTACAAGAGGGGGAGGGACAGACAATGAGGATGGGATTGGGGACAGCAAAAATGTGGATGCCAAAGCCCTGTGCCTGGTGACTCCAGGGTCCAACGCCTGGCCTCCCCTCTCAAACCTCACACAGGTAGCACCAAAAGCAAGCCCTTCATGGGGAATAGGGAGCTGGGCTCAGGACAGGGACCCCTGAGGGGTGTGGGCTGAGTGGCCAAACTCTAACTGGGCTGAGACTCTGGTCACGACCCTCACTTGGGCGACGAATCCCACGGCTAACTACTTCTCCACTCTGCAAAATCCTTTCTCTCCATAGTGACCACAGACCCCCATCCTAGAAACCAGAATTCACTGACACCCTACAGAGACCAGCCAGCTTTCTTCCTCCCCGACGGAGTCGGGTTCCAGGCCCAGGGGTGCAGCCGGTCCTGTGTGAGGCAGGTGACAGAGCCTGGAACTTAGGGTAACAGGAGGTAGATGTTGACCTGGTATAGTAGTCAGGGTTTTGCAAACAAGGAGTGACAGGCACTGAGCTCCCCATCGTTGAGTGCATGCAAGCAGAAGTGGAGGGACAGCAGAGGGCAAGTCAGGCATCCGCACAGCTACCCTCTGAGGTGCCTCCAGGCTGGAGTTCGGCGCCTCAGAGGGAGCAGCAGAGCGCAGCACTGACAGAAACGATCCACGCTGGGCTGGCTCTCCGAGTGGGAGGCAGGGCCCCGGGCGCAGTGCTGTTCCGGCAGCTGCACCCCACGCCCACGCTCCCCAGTGGGTGCAGCGCAGTCTAATCACCTGGTGCACCACCTTCCAGCTATGCCGCTTGCACTGCGCCTGCACTTAGTGCCCAGACCTCTAATCTCCCAGGTCTCCATGGTGAGCATGGGGCCTAATGACAGGCCAAGTCCAGCCTGCATCCTGCCATCAGTGATCACCCTGTTCCCGGAGCTGGAGCTAGGCTGCAGCTAGGGCTTCCCATGACCCTAGAGGCATTTCTTGCCTTTAAAAGCTGGTGCCAGTGGGGAGTCCTGGGAACCAGGGTCCAGGCGGCTCACGGTCAGGTCACTCTCTGTGCCCCCTCGATGGTTCAGCATGCAAGTGTACACAGTCGAGCCTGGGGGCAGAGACATGGGTGAACAAACATGGCAGTGGTGAGCTCCACATGAGAGAAGACAGGAACACAGCTGTTCACCACTTGATGTGTTGGCCGGGAGTGACCTCAAAGGGCCCCCCAACTCAGGTCTTCATTATGATCAAGGGTACCCAAGAGTGGCATCAAGAGGCAGGCTCCAGGCACTGTCATTGCGCAGGGAGGGAGGTTACGAAGCAAAGCTTCCCTCTTCTTGACCTGCTTGTCCACTGGTTTCTCCCACCCCATCTACCACCTGAGACGTTGTAGGGACAAGATTCAAGGCTTCTTCATGTTGGGGCTCCTAGTACTGAGCCAAGTGCCCCAAGGACTCAAAATGCCTGCTGAATAAATAACACATGGATGGGCGACGGGGATGTGGACAGAGGTGTGGAAGGTGGTAGATAGGTGGTGGGTGTGTGAAGGGAGGAGAAGGGGGTGATGAATGGCAGGTGGATGATGGGTAGGCAGAAGGATAAATGGGTGGATGGATGGGTGGAGAGATGGGTAGATGGATCGGAAGATGGGTGAATGGATGGGTAGACAGATGGGTGGATGGATGGATGGATGGATGGATGGATGGATGGATGGATGGATGGAT